GATAAACAGAAGCTAAGGGATTTTGCCAAAGCCAACCCTGCTATGAAAAACATCCTAAAGGAAGTTCTGTGGACTGAGAACCAGCAAGAACAGACAACAACTAGAGAATGAAGTACGTGGCAACATCACCTTGAATTCAATCGACAAATGGAAGAGTCAAGAACAGAATAAAATTGTAAGAAGAGAGGATCTGGGAGATCAGTCTATGATCAAAACAATTATAATGTGAAAGAAGGTAAACACAGGAACAGAGATCCTGGTGGTGGGAAGGTCAGGTAGATTACAGGATAAAATAGACTCTCTTAAATGGAGAGAAGAATTAATGGAATATAAGGTAACCACAACAATGGGGTTGGGGAGGGCAATACAAGATGGGGAGGAGGCAGAAGAACAAGATAGATAGGGGAACACTGAGACAGATTTGCATGTCCTAAGTAAGACAGAGATAAATAGTGATGCAATACTCAACCTTGGAACAGGGCTCTGGGATACAGGGATCTAGGTATAGCTTGAAGAGGGGAAGTAATACTATAATGCTTGACTGCCTTATGACTTGCCTACTATCGTAAAATAGACACTTGAGTGAATAGAAAGGAATGTTGGGAAACATGATTAGAGAAAACCTGTAAGCCTGCCTTCAGCCTGTAACTGATTGGAATACCTAAAAGGGGTTCTAGAACTTGCCCAGTGAAATTGGCCCCGTACAAAGCCTTTACAGAGTATAGGACCTTAGGTGGAATCCTGAGTCCCATCCAGAACCTTATGAGGTGGGGCATTCCCACTAGAAAGGACAAGCATATCTGCCTGGAACAGCTACAGTGACAGAAGATATATCTTCAAGGAAAGATCATCAGGAAAAACCCAAATAAAAAATGTCAGCATGACTGGCTACTACAAGAATAAGCAAGCTGTTTGCCAGGAAGATACCAAGGCTGCTAAGCAATCAAGTTCCTTCAGGAAAAGTCCCCTCTAAGACTGAAACTCAAAGGAAATACACAAACAAGCATGTAAGCTTGCTGGCGACCACACTGGTCTACTGGTGAGTGGTCAAGTGGAAAAGGCAGCAATGAAGAAATGGGCTGAGTTCAACCACAGTCCATTGACTTCTCTTGACCTGGAGATGAGAGAGAGAAGAGGAAGGGCTGGTTGGTCCAAAGTGTGGTGAGAGCTGGGGACACTTGAGCCCATGGACAAGGACATAGCCACAGAGGGCTAGAGCTGAGAGTGAAGCATCCAGCTGATATGAAGTGAGGGGAGATGCAC